AATGGGGAAAAATGGGAAATAATAGGAAAATAATGGGGAAAAATGGGGAAAAACGGAAAAAAATGGGGAAATAATGGGAAAAACGGGGGGAATTGGGAAAAAATGGGGAAATAATGGGAAAATATGGGAAAAAATGGGAAAAATGGGAAAAAGGGGGAAATAATGGGAAAAATGGGAAAAAACGGGGGAAATGGGAAAAAATGGGAAAAATGGGAAAAAATAATGGGAAAAATGGGAAAATGGGAAAAAATGGGAAAAAATAATGGGAAAAATGGGGGAAAATGGGAAAAAATAATGGGAAAAATGGGGGAAAATGGGAAAAAATAATGGGAAAAATGGGAAGAAACAGGGAAAATGGGAAAAAATAATGGGGAAAATGGGAAAAATGGGAAAAAAATGGGGGAAAAGGGAAAAAATAATGGGGAAAATGGGAAAAATGGGAAAAAACGGGGAAAATGGGAAAAAACGGGGAAAATGGGAAAAAGTAATGGGAAAAACGGGAAAAAACGGGGAAAATTGGAAAAAACAGGGGGAAAATGGGAAAAAATAATGGGAAAAATGGGAAAATAATGGGAGAAAATGGGAAAAATGGTAAAAAAGGGGGGGAAATGGGAAAAAATGGGGAAATAATGGGAAATAATGGGAAAAATGGAAAAATAATGGGGGAAAATATGGGGAAAAATGGGAAAATAATGGGAAAATGGGAAATAATGGGAAATAATGGGAAAAAACGGAGGAATTGGGAAAAAATGGGGAAATAATGGGGAAAAAAGGGAAAAACGGGGAAATGGGAAAAAATGGGAAAAATGGGGGGAAAATAATGGGAAAATAATGGGGGGAAAATGGGGAAATAATGGGGGAAATTGGGGAAAAGTGGGAGAAAAATGGGGAAAAAAAGGGAAAAATGGGAAAAAATGGGGGAAAATGGGGAAAAAACGGGAAAAAAAATGGGATAATGGGAAAATAATGGGAAAATAATGGGAAAAAATGGGGGGAAATGGGAAAAAATGGGGGGGAAATGTGAAAAAATGGGGGAAAACGGAAAAAATGGGGAAAAATGGGGAAAAATGTGAAAAAAATGGGAAAATAATGGGAAAAAGGGGAAAAATTGGGAGGGAAATGGGGAGGAAAAAATGGGGGAAAAATTGGGAAAAAAAAGGGAAAAAAAGGGAAAAATGGGGAAAAAAGGGGGGGAAAGGGAATTTGGGGGGTGGGAAGAACCCCCTGATTACCCTTCAGGCTCTGTTTTGGGGGAAAAAAGCAGGAAAATGGGGTGAAATGGGGTCTGGGGGTGGATTTGGGGTGAAATGGGG